AAACAGGCGATTTGGGCGATCTAGAGAGAGAAACAGCCCTATGGCTTCGCCGGCCGGCGGCCAGCCATTAATTCCGGCTGGTCAGCCATGAGGCAAATTCCTTGTTTTTTTCCCTTTTCACATTACACTTACAAGTAAAAACTCAATCCTCAAGCTTGAACTCAACGAGAAAGTTGCTGCCAATTCCAGTCAAGAAGTGGAACAAAGCCAACGGAAGCTATGGTGAGAAGAATAAATCAATAGCTACTCCAATTACAAATGGGGTTTTGGTTACGTTCTTTCTTGACTCCAGCAGTGAATTGGGTCTCCGCTCAAAACCTCCACAAATACGGTTAGTAATTCCAATCTGTATTTCTTATCGAATATGCACATAGATAACGTTGGAGACGCGGAGCAGAAAATTGAGAATTTGGGTGGGAGAAGAATTAAGAAACTAGGGTTTGTGGGAGAAGAGAGTCTGGTTGTATGCAAATAAAGAGAGATTGTATTGGGATTTGCAGATACGCGGTAATTATGTGAGAGAAAATACAAAAAGGGAGAGAGAAAAATAATATTTAGCATATAAGGTGCCTTAATTGTAGGATGTAACTATATTTAGATTTTTTGCAATAAAGAATAAAAAGTATTTATAGAATGTAATATTTTAAAATGATATTTATTTAAAATAAATAGGGTACTAAGGTTTTCTACTATAAAAATTCCTATGATAAATCACCTAACACTTGGACCAATACAATGTGCACAAATCAAGATTGGCCTTTGGGGCAAACAGAATCCAATTCATAAAGATAGCAGGCCATTACATAGACAAATTTACGTGTTCTCTCTTCCTTTACTACACGTATTTTTTTGTACTGTCAACTCAATAACTCAACTCTAGCATAATCATAATAAATAAATAAAAAACAGTGCTCAAGAATTCCATAACATAGTGCCACATAATAGCAGAATAGTTGATATTGGAATTTGGAGACACCCTTTTGCTTCTGCTTCATCTTGGTCAGTCTTTTAATCCCTTTCAATCTATTTATAACATACAGTTGTGTTGTGTTATAAAAATCAATAGGTGCATTAACATAGCCAAGAATGGTTTTTCTTCTTAAATTTGTTTATTTTTACAGTTTGTTGATTGCTTGGGTTGGTTGTTCTACTTCGTTGCTGTTGTTACTGTTTCCCTGACTTTTACACTAGTATATTTCTTCTCTATATACTGTTGTGATTTCCATGTTTGCTTGGAGCCGAGGGTCTGTCGGAAACAATCTCTCTACCTGCTCAAAGGTAGGGATAAAGCTGCGTACACACTACTCTTCCCGACCCCTATTTGTGGGATTACACTGTGTTTGTTGTTGTTGTTATCTTTTTTTTCCTGTTTGTTGATTATTTTGTGAGCATTTCTCAATGGATAACTTGTTTTCTTGTGATGGTTCTAGCTAAGTTTTTGCTACATGAGAGATTGGATTAATTCTTTCTAAATTGCTAGCTTATGTTGAAGACTTGTCTAATTGGGAATATATTTTAGCCATGTTAATACATCTACTTTAGGTCCTATGCTTTCCAGGAGTCTTTTAGCCCTATTGGAGATTCGTATGTCAGTAGGAAATGCATAAAATTATACCGTCGGAGCTATCTATAACAACATCTCTATATAACAACCATTCACTATAAAATCTAAGTTTTTTTCGAAACCAATTTTTTTATTATGTTATAATATATATCCTTTATAACGGCACTTCATTACTGCAACAAAAAAATATCGGAGCAAATGAGGCAGTTATAGAGAGGTTTGACTGAAGTACTTTTTATTTTTGTTTTGTATAATGTTGGACTGTGATGAATTTAAATGTGGAACATGATCAGTGAGGATTTATATAGTTGACCTCAACTTATTTGGGATTAAAGCGTAGTTGTTTGTTATATGTTGAAAGTGTATGCTTTACTTTTTAGGCAGAGGGAGGGTGGGATTGAGAGATCGTTAGTGTTTTCGAACGGTTGAACTTATCTTGAATGATTCGTACATCATGTTTCTTGATGTAGTGTTTGATTATGTAGTTATATGTGTTACTCTTTCTAGCTGGATGCATGTTTACCAATGTAGAGAGGGTTGATAGCAAAGTAAAGATTGAAGGCCTCGACGGGATGATTGAGTGATTGAGGCATAAGAGTGACAGCACGAAAAAACCTCGTTCAAGACCTAGCTAGAACACGCCCAGTAAACTAGTCAAGGTACACGAAGCTAGTGTGAACACCACCACCCCAAAAAAAAGGAAAGAAAAAAAAGTTGGCAAAACAAATTTCTTTAAGGGTATAAAAGATGGGAGTTTTCTTAGTAGGAATATAGACAAGTTTTTGACTAGAGTAAATTGATAATGACATATTTATTTGATTAGGAACTTCAAGTAAGCAGTCTTGGTGACTTGTTTAAAAACCGACTGGAGTTGGTATCCGTAGATTTTAGAGTTCCATGTTACGTCATGAGGGGAGCCTATGAGCAATAGTAAGGTTATCTCCGTATGGCTTATAGGTCACGGGTTTGAGTAATGGTATTTAGTAACAAGAATCATTTGGTTTTCCAACTTCAGTCTTGATCTGGAAAATATTGAGAATTATATTGCTTCTTCTAATCCTCATTTCTTTGTCTTTTTAGTACAGTTTGTCTTATTTTGTAGAGAGAGTTCATGGTTTCTTGTCGTTTGATTGTAATAGATGCTTTTGCTGTAACAGGGTTGTTGAAGGTTTTCCCGAGGGGTTGTGAACTGGTGAAGATTTGCTAGAGGAAATCTTATTTTCTGTGGTAATTTAAGGCAGAATGGAGCACTATAATCTTGGAACTTCTCAAGGTATTTCAACTGGTTACCGTGCATGCCTTGTCTCCTAACAATATACTATATCTGTTTTGCTGAATGCAATTAATTTTATGCATAGGTTTGTGCTATTTTAAGTTTCAAAACAGATCAGAGAATTGTATCTGTCTTTTGGTTTCTGCAAGAGGTTGTTGAACTAACGGATTTCATGAAGGTATATCATTGGAAAAAGCTAACCAAATTATTCAAAGACATAATATTCATCATAAAAATAGTTAAATACATAATAATAAGGTGGAAAGCATGAGTGGAGCTAGAGCTTCGGTAACGGGTTCGGCGAACTTAGTAGCTTTAGCGCAAACCCTATATTTGTCTTAAGAAATTCATTGAATTATGTACAAATTCTTACTTTAGAGCCCAGTAACATAAAAAGACTAGAATCCTGAACCCAGTAACTTCAAATCGTGGCTTCGCGCCTCCGCCTCTGGTGGAAAGGACGTGACATAGAGTTTGAGCCCAAAAAATTGCATAGGCAAAATAGTAAAACCAAGTTGAACATTCCTTAAAGCTATATAGATATTACTATTTATGGAGCGCGAGAAATTTTAGGTGTAGGATCTTACTCAAAGTAAAGTATAGCAGTCTTCTAGAGCAGGCGACATTATCAAAGCAGAGGAAGGCATTTCAATAAACTTTTTGCTAGTATTTCTCACGTTTTGAGAATAAAGTCAATCATCATAATATAAAGGGTGAATGGCTCTTGCATAACATGCCGGCATCATGATGATATACCGTAAGATTACGAAATGTCCACTGCTTTGTGAAGCAGGAAATGATGTATCCACTTGGTTCAGAAATTGCCAAATGTTCACTTCAGCAAGAGTAAATAATGTCCTGCAGAAAGGAAAGAAACAGTTTTTGATTACTTCCCTCTCTCCAAAGAGAAATAAGATACTCGTGTCTCACTCTCTTTTTCAGTTAATTTTTTTTCCTTAGTTAAAAAACAGAGTTGAGGCACAACACTGTGACAGTGAAGAGGGCTCTTGCTCGGTCTGTTATTGGAATTGTTATCTCTATTTCAATATTTAACCATTAAGTTATTGGATAATTCGTTACTCACTTTAAGTTCTGGAAAGTATTGTCCCAACAAACTGTCCGAACGATCTTTCCTTTGGGAGATTTAAAGCTTGATAAATTTGATAAACTTCTCTCAAACACTTGTGAACTCCAATTCTTTGTTGACTGGATCTCTTTAACCAAATAAGAAATCTGAAATTCACAGCCTTGATTTGTCATGCGCCTGAAGACGGCGATTTTTTCTTGACAGAAGGTGAAAGGTTAATGGACAGAAATTCAGAAGGATAAGGAGGAGATGCAATAAGGAAAGAAATAAGTACCAGATATTAGGCTTAACGACATTTCTAGATGCCAACCTTGAAGATATCAAGAACTTAGTTCATCGTAAATGCAGTAACTTTTACCTTTTCTGGAAAAAGAAAGGATCAATAAAAAATTGGATCGTTCTTTTTCGTGGAAAGAGAAGCTTTAGCACAGTTTCTGAGGGAAGTGTACACTTTTTCTGTATATCATCTTATCATGATTTTTCTTGCTGACACAGTGTATTGAGGTGTTCTAAACTTTGAAATTGTCTAATTAGATGATAATAGATTGCCTATGCTCTTAATCAATTCCAAAATGTTGCAAATACGCATGATGGCTTGCCCTTGAAATGATGCATATTTAACTGCAACAGTTAAGAAAGAATATAACACAAAGAATGAAAGCACTGAATCCAATCAAAAACTGCATAAGGCTTCAAAGGAAGTGACATCTGAAGGGAATCAAGGTCAAGTTGGTAGGAATGTTGCAGGCGATGTAGCTCCACGGCATGTGAATTCTCAAGGCGAAGTTAACATGGAGGCAGATATCACTATGGATGATGTTATAAGAGCCGGAGGTCTAGGAGCAAGAGACGATTTAAATAGTGTTCTTCCTATCGCAACCGATACCACTGACTTTGAGGCTTCTATTCGTGATGCTTGGGACTATGAAGGACCACGTGAAAGCATTAAGCGACCGGGCCTTGGCTGGACTGAACCTGCAAAGAAGTAAATCTATCCACACTGCAACTTAAGGTGGACTTCTGAGGTGTTTTCCAGTTTTAATAGCACTCTTAGACTCTCAGCTCTGGTCCTGTTGATTGAACGTAAGTTGTATTTGTCTTACAGTTTGTTCAAGCAATAAGTTCTATCCTAGTGTATGAAATTAATGATCAACCACGATGGACATTTTCGTTAATGTGCTTAGTTGTCACTCTGTTATTTCTCCTTTGTGCACTTTTTCGTTAATGTGCTTAGTTGTCAATCTGTTATTTCTCCTTTGTGCACTTCTCTATTTGACGTATCTTGTTGTGTTTGAGATGGTATTAGGAAACATAGTAGAAATTCCATATTAAAAGTTCTTTTATGAAATAAAAATTTCAATCGTGGGTCGAATCTTACTGAATCTTTAATGAGTTCTGCTAAGCACAAACATTAGATTCATTGCTAGTTTCAAGTATTCATGTACAAAGATAGTTCGTTCCGAAAAGAATGCTACAATGCCTCAACATTGTTACATGTGTGCACTGTGGAGCATTATAACCATAGATCTATGTAAAATAACTCTATATAGCTATTTATATTTTCGGAAGAAGTCATTGTTGTTGAACGCCTGATGCTCTTCTAAAAATTCTATGGCCAGGAGCTAGGATAGCCAAAGGGTCATATGTGGATTTCCTCCTATTAAATGTTTCCCATTGGAAACCAAAGTGACTTTTCCAGTCTTCCTGTGTTGTGTAGTGTGGCAAATACTGTTTCATTCCAATATGTGCTTTTCTGCAAAAGTTTAGTATCTTCTTATTCTTATTTAGAATATATTCTACGCCGTCCTTTCCTGTTGAAGATGGCATGGCAGAAGATAGAAATGCTATTAAGTACATAACATCTTCTTCGGGTGTAACTAGTGATGTTCCTTTTCTCCACCTGCAACACAAAATGATCGTAGATCATGTTAGGAAAATGCATATATCCTTAACAAGAAGATTAGTTGAGTGATGATGATTTCAGTACTTTGATTTGTTGACTGGGTAGATGAGTATAGGACCGTGGCTAGTGTCGGTAAGTATCTTCCCAAAAACTTCTTGTGCGAAGTCATGAATCCTGGTCTTTGGAATTAGAAGGTTTAGCCATGGATGAGGAACATCCCATAACCCCTTCTCTTGGAGTTTCATCTCGGATACATGGACTCTGTCGAGAAAATCAACATACGAGACTTCTGATTGGAACAACGTCGATTGGATATAATTCAACTTTGATAAAAGAGCATCAACATTCTGTAATGTTAAGAAAAACAAGAGTCAAGATGTGGACATGTTTAGGTGAACATTTTTGCAAAGTTGTCAAAAGCTAGAAGTTCGAGCCGTGGAAATAGCCTCTTGTAGAAATGTAGGGTAACACTACGTACAATAGACCCTTGTGATCCGGTCCTTTCCCGGACCCCACGCATAGCGGGAGCTTAGTGCATCGGGCTGCTCTTTTGTCAAAAGCTAGAAGCTTAAAATGACTAAAAATATCTTACCTGATCAGTTTTGGTTGTCTCTTCTGGATTGAAGTATTTGGCAACTTCTAGGCAGTAGAGAACTTTTCCCTCAGAACTGAACTCTTTGGCTAGAAGTGGATCTTTAGGATTGAAAGTAGACCTCCAGTTGTTTAACAATCCTGTTCTATTGATAATGACAAATCCTTCTATATAGTCGAAAGAATTCTCCAATGATATCAAGTGTTCTTGATCATAGGAAAATGTGGAGAAATCTGAATACAGCACTCTGATCCACTTTACCTGTAAATAGTTGAACTTTAGTAGAAATTATTGGACTTGTTTTCTTTTTCTTTCTTTAAAATCTTATTCTAATTAATGTGAAGGGGAGTCTTGGCGTAACTGGTAAAGTTGTTGCCATGTGATTAGTAGGTCACGAGTTCGAGTCGTGGAAATAGCCTCTTGCAGAAATGCAGGGTAAGGCTGCGTACAATAGACCCTTGTGATCCGGCCCTTCCCCGGACTCCGCGCATAGCGGGAGTTTAGTGCGCCGCCAGGCTACCCTTTATTCTAATTAATGTTAACTATTTGATATTTGGAGTTGGAAAAATTACCTTTTTAGGTGCTGGTTCAAGAGCAATCCTAGCCCTTGTGATGATACCAAACTGGCCTAGTCCTCCTAATACACCATAGAACAGGTCAGCATTCTGCTCCTCTGAACAAGTAATCACCTCTCCTTTACCTATGCAGAAAAATGTATTATTAATAATTTCAAGAAATATAATACGTGGCGATCCAACTTACAGAATGGAAGGATGTGAAATTTTCCAATAGTTATAGTTGATTATCCAGAAGTTTAGATTAATAAAAAAGGTGATGACTTGTTGTAACAAAATTGCCTTCTGCTGTAGGCTTTCTTGAGTCAAAGTCCACAATGTAAACACTTTTTAACTGATTAGTCTGACTTCTAGTTGTTGATTTGGTACTCTGTTGGAATATAATAGAGGCAGGATTTGACTTATATACACTGAAAATGTAAAGAATTTTGCACTATATGTGTATTTTAACCTATTGTATTTGTAGCAGGTGAAGTTCCCTTGGCGTAACGAGTAAAGTTGCTGCCATGTGACCAGTAGGTCACAGGTTCGAGCCGTGGAAATAGCCTATTGCAGAAATATTGCAGGGTAAGGCTGCATACAATAGACCCTTGTGGTCCGGCCCTTCCCCGGACCCCGCGCATAGCGGAAGCTTAGTGCACCGGGCTGCCTTTTTTTGTATTTGTAGCAGGTAACTTGCCTCATTTTTTGCAGGCTGCTAATCTCACTTTTTTGCACTGTCAGTGTATAAACTTAAACTCAGAAAGAAATGGGAAGATTAAACTCTTCCCGCCTGACTACTTTCTAATGACTGCTTGATACTATGTAAACTGGGGAATAATAAGATTGTTGTGCATGAACATACCAGTGACAACCTCAAGTTGGTAAACATTATTGATCTGTGGTCCATGTTTGAATGCTTGACCACTGATTCCGGCATTCGACAAAGTCCCTCCAACGGTTAGGTGAAGATAATCAGTCCAAGATTTTGGTGTTAATCCAAGTTTAAGACTTTCATGCAGGATGTTTATCCAAAGTTCACCAGCAGAAACATCAACAAAAGTCAGTTCTTGATTCCCTGTGTGGAAACGCATTGCTGGCGCTCGAAGCGATTCCATATTGATCACTACTCCTTGGTAAGCTTGAGCTTGGCCTTCTAGAGAATGACCATGACCTCTAGCAGCAACAGTTAGGTCTGTATTGCTACCCATGTCAAACACATGTTTTATGGTAGATGATATATCAGAAACTGATTTTGGATACAGAACTGCCGACGGTAAGAAATGATATCTGTTGCCAAAGTCCTTGGCCGCGTGATCGAAATTCTTGAAACTAAAATACCCTTCAATATTTAACTGTTTCAGTGATGATTGAATCACTGAAAAATTTGAAGGGATAGAAGAAGAAGAAGATATTGGGGTGGCAAAAGTTTGGTCACAACAGAGGTTAGTTTTGTTTATTGAGCAAATGCCTAATATGAATATAAGAAACCTAAGAAACATACTTTTATGTTTAAAGAAGACATGAGTTGGTGGTGATTTCATCCTTCTTAAATGTGTAGAGGAAATTAAAAGTTTGTTATTTCTTGAATATTTGCCTTTTGTTTGAGTGAAAATAGGGGGTGTAGAATGGCCTCAAGAAAATTAAGGTTGGTCAAGAAAGAATATATAAGGAGGAGATTAGAGGTGTCACTGTCAATAGACACTAAGTGGTTTATTGGACTGCATGTGAGGACTATATATCTTGAAAATGGATTTTTATGGAAAATATAATCTTGATTTTTTTTGTATGTATCAACAGTTATAGAGTTTGAAGTGGAAAATTTCACCTGTCACTTTGTACTTCACTAGTGTTTCAACTACCACATATGACATATTTAACATGTCTGATTGCTATTTTGAGCAAATTTTATATGCAGAATTTTGGAGTTCTATACCAACTATTCAACCTGTTCATATTTGGTGAAACAATGACACCATTTTTCTTTTTCGTGGTTTGGTGATTTGTGCTAAATTTTACATCCTATTCAGTGCATCCTAATTTGAAAGTCATAATGGCTGCACCAAGATTTGCTGTAGTAGGAAGGCGAGCCTTGCGTAACTGGTAAAACTGCTGTCATGCGATCAGGAGGTCATAGGTTGAGGTCATAGGTTCGAGCCGTGAAAAATGTCTCTGACAGAAATATAGGGTAAAGCTGCGTACAATCAGGGGCGTATCTAGGCTTAGGCATATGGGTTCACGTGAACCCATACTGCTCTCCGTAAACTATGTATAATAATGTTATATTTCTTCAAAATTACTTAAATATATGTGCGTGCACCCATGCTCAAAGTTTCCTATGATGCAATAATTATTGGATGCACCTCTACAAGTAAAATTGTGTTCCAAATCCTACTCTGAATGGTTTTATTTTCGATACAGAGTATAAATATATATAAGTAAAAATTACTAAAATTTTAAAAAGAATATAATTTTGAACCTATAATTTCAAAAGTGTAGCGTGTTCATGGTAACTGGTAAGAAACTATAGTTAAACCTGTTAAATTTTAATTTTAGATCCATCATTTTATAATAGTGTACCCATTCTCTTGAAATCCTGGATCCGCCTCTGCGTACAATAGATCTTTGTGGTCTGATTCTTTTCCGGACTCCACGCATAGCGGGAACTTAAAGCGCTTGGCTGACTCTGTGTTGTAGTGGTCCTTTAAGTTTACTAGGGCCACACAAGTTTATCTTCTACAATGGGTAGCAGGCTTTAGGCTTTGAGGATATTCACTTCACGTGGGAGTGAATGCATGTTTGTTTTCCTGTCTACAAGATGGCTTTCCAACTCGGATTTGACTTATATAAACTAACAGCGTAAAGAATTATTACACTATCTGTGTGTTTTAACCGGTTGTTAAGGGTAACTGCCTTAATTTATAGGCGTGCTAATCTCACTTTTTTATAGATGGTTTTTTGTAGTTTTCTTTTACGTAAAAAGGGAACCTCGACGTAACCGATAAAGTTGCCTCCATATGACCAGGAGGTCACGCATTCGAGCCGTGAAAATAGTCTCTTGCAAAAAATGCAAGGTAAGACTGTGTACAATAGACCTTTTGGTCCGGCCTTTCTTCGGACTCCGCACATAGTGTTAACTTAGTGCACTAAGTTGCCCTATCTTTTAGGTAATCTGATTGTCGAAAATTATCTTACACTGTCAGTGCATAAAAGTTAAACTCGTTCAACTTTTGCATAAGATCTACTGATAATGTCAGGTAGCTGTTTGATGGATTTGAGTGATAAAGAGGGTTTGAAGAAGGGAGGCCCCTACTAAGTTTACTTGCTGTTAGGTCTTATAAATATGGCCAAAAGAAAGAAAAGGAATAAGATTTAGTGGTGGTCCTGAGCTTGTCACTTTGGAAAAATGGTGCTATACATGATTTTCACCTTCTTTTAACAGACTTGTGATGGAATATTTGGAGAAATGACATGTGAAAAGAAAAAAGAAACTTTCAGCTAAAAAAATAGTTTGAATTGGTTATCTTTACTTATCTTTGTATTTTTGAGGGTGAGATTCATTTGCTTGAATTGACTGCTTGTCCAACAATTGCCCCAAGAGCGTATCGTGTGTAGATAGACACATGTTATGAAATTGAATTCTGTTGTAGGCGAAAATTTGTTATTTAAGTGGAGAAGAATATAGAAGAGAATTCATTATCCACCGAGTTTCGAATCGTGAATTAGTAATTTATCGACTTTCGATTGTGCTACGTTGGTCCCCTGGTATTTCTCGATTATTAAAAAGAAATTGTCTAGCAACCAGAGGCGAATATAGTATAGAAGCTATGAGTTCAGTTTCGCTCATACCCTGTATTTTTGCCAAAAAAATTATTAAATATCTATAAATAATAAATTTTGAACCCATTAAATTAGATGAGATGTGATTAAATCTTAGATCCGCCTCTGTCAGATATTAAACTGATTAGATTCAAAATTAAAGAACAAAAAGAATCATATCCAATGAAAAAAACAAAAAAGAAAGAAACAAAAGGGCCGAATTTGGCAACTTTTTGCTGGTCTATTTTATTTCTTTAATCCCCATGTTTTTTTCCCCATTTATTCTATAAAGGACCTTGTGAAAATGGTCATGTTATAATGTTATATTACTACTGAAGTAAGCTACTTAATTAACACATTGGCTGACAAATGACTTATTGACTAGTATGGAGTTCCATAACAACTTTTATGTGATTAGTTTCACTTAATTATTCATTCAGGTTAGCCGCCTACATCACACCACTTTCAGTGCGGTCTTTTTGACCTCGCGTGAATGTTGGATACTTTGTGAACTGTGCTATATCATCCCTCTTCGAATGCGGTCCTTCCTTCGACTTCCGTGAATGTGGGATACTTCGTGCACCATATTATATCATCCCCTTCGGGTGCGGTCCTTTTTCCGACCTCGCGTGAACACATTGTTTTGCGCACCAGGTTACCTCACCCCCCCCCCTCCGGGTGTGGTCCTTCCCCCGACTTGCGTGAACGCATGATGCTTTGTGCATCGGGCTACATCACCCCCTCTTCGGCTGCGGTCCTTCCCCTGACCTTGCGTGTTCACGAGATACTTTGTGCACCAGACTGTCTTTCTTTTTCCGATGCATAAAAATTAAACTCGTGTCCTATGACAATTTTGAATGGGAAGAACACTAAAAGAAAAATTAATTTATCAACTGAATGGATTTTGAGGTCTTGGATCCCAGCATTGGGACAAGAATAAAATATTCTTTTACATAAAATATTCTTTATGGTGTTATTCTTGTTTCTTTTGCCAAACAAAGTACTATTCTGGAAATTATTACCCCATTTTCTTTTGTTTCTTCTGTATCTACATCAGTAATCTCCATTCTTTGGCTTCTGGAAAATCAAATAATTATGTATGTTTAGTGCCTCTTCGATCAACTAGTGTACTAAGAACTGTACATATGTTTTAAATAATGTGCATATTTGTAAAGATACATTAATTACTACATATATTATGATTATGTATCATTTTGAAGTAATCTTTATTTGGTTAGACGTATTTGTGAACAAGTTTTACATTTATACAAAAGTAAAAGATATTTATGGTGACTCGATAAGATCATAAAAATCATCGATAGTTTTAGCAGCGATCAGAGAAATTATCATTTTTTTAATTTTTCACTCAGTGTCCGGTATTCGTTATGGAGTGCGAATAATTTAAATTCGCATCAAATTTTTTATTTTGAGGGGGTAAAACGCTCTCTACCAAAAGGGTGACCATATGCATTAGGAAGAACTTTATATACTCTTTGTCAAAAGTTCCATTTGGTGAGCTAGCCATGCAGAGAGAAGAGACTGATCTCCTTTTTTAATTGTCAGAATACCATTAATCTTTAGTGTCATCAGCCACTAAATTCAAAATCTCAAATTTAAAATGCTTGTCATAAAGGTTCTCGTTTAGAGGTAAAAGCGCAACATATGATGTGTATTCAGTGGAGAAGGGTTCATTATTTATCGAACTTCAAATCATGCAACTATTGACCCTCGAGAATCTATATAAAGGCTGTCTGGTGCACAAGATATCCCACGTTCACGCAGGGTCAGGGGAACGGCCGCATGGGTGTGATGTCGATAGCCTACCCTAATACAAATATTAGTGGCTACTTCCACGGCTCAAACTCCCGGACAGAAAAAAATTGCTTGCTACGAAGGCACTTACTATTTTTTTCATACAGAAAAGTTTATAGTGGGCAAGAATTACACTAAGCTGCAAGTTTGAATAAACAAGAATAAAATACAATATTAATGCCCCTTCTTTGTGTGTGTGTGGGGGGGGGGGGTGAGGAGGGGACATTAGAATGGCAATCATAACCAAGGGAAAAAAACTTTAAAAAATCTTTATGTTGCTAGACATTTTAATGTACCTTTTGATATTAATATTCCAATTGCTTGAACTGTAAGAAGACAAAAAATTGAAATAAGATATAAGTTCATCATAACAACCCCATTGATTTATAGTCTAATAAATAATGTTATTCGAAGCTTAATTAAACAATTAATTAATCTTGAAATTATGAGCCTACATATATCATGTTTCAGAACAAAAAAAAGATTATGATGTACTAATGGTAGATTTCAAACAAAGAGTGAAACCCGTGTAACTATTTGGAATAAGTTAATATAAAAGCATATCTATCATTTGATTTGGTTATAGCAATATTAGGGGCTAATCTTTTGAGATTAATCGTTTCAATTTTATTGAATGTCTCTATCCGTACAAACGATTTAGGCATGTATTCAAAAAAATTATGAGGTTGGTAAGTCAAATGGAGGCCACCATAATCCATTGAGTATTCTACCTTGGAATATCGATTTCATACGCTCTACTGAAATAAATTTTGCGAAAACCTTACATTATATCTTGGTTAGTTCACTCCTATGGCTTTATAGTTTGGCACCTTTAATCGGAAACCCAATTATATTAAATCTCGCTTTTCATGAGTCGAATCTATCGGAAACAATCTTTCTACCTTTACAAGGTAGGAGTAAAATTTGCATACACGTAACCCTAATGTCTGCATACACACAACCCTCTTCAAACCCTACTTGTGAGATTACACTGATTATGTTATTGTTGGTGTAATCGAAACCTAGTAATATAAGCTGCCCATATGAGGATCATGACATAGGTAAAAGGGAACGACGAGGCAACCCCCTTCCCCCCAACTTCTGCATATCTTACTCATCCGACATGGCATGAATCACCGAGCCTGCACTCAGGAATAGTAATGATTCAAGAAATACTCAAATTCAAACTCTCAAATTGTAGTAATTTGTTGGTTTAAAGAGACTCATTAACATAGAGAACAAAATCTTGAATTTTTGAGGTTATTATTATGTTTCTAGCTGAAAGAGAAGATCATTAATTATCATAATGTTGGGAATTGTTTATTTTAAACCATAGGGAAAAGTCAATAATGAATCAGATAGTGAATTTTCTGATCTTTGTCATTTGTCACCAATGACTCACCAAGCAAAATCATTCATTTGTGACAATCAAAAAGGATCTGCAAAAGCCAAAAGGTTGGTCTAAAAAAAAAAAGCAATAACTACTACTAGCAAAATAGATTGTCTATGAATTCCTAGATCCCAGCACTTATTAAAACCAACATGATTTTCTGCAACTGACTTAGGCCAACCATTGTGCCATTATTTTTTTGTGGATTTGAAGTCACTGATAAGAATTTATCTGCAGCTTTTTTCATTGAAAAATTGTCCCTTTGCGTTGAAAGTACTTCTTGTGTGCACATATTATTGGCCAATCGGAACAGTTTCAAATTTGCTCATGTATCCGGGACATGATGGTAAGCAACCTCCACTTCCAACCAAGAGGTTGTGAGTTCGAGTCTCCCCAAGAGCAAGGTGGGAAGTTCTTGGAGGGAAG